AGTATATGTTCATGTCTTTTGCCCACTTTTTGATGGGGTTGTTTTTTCTTGTAAATTTGTTTAAGTTCTTTGTAGATTTTGGATATTAGCCCTTTGTCAGATGAGTAGATTGCAAATTTTTCCCCCCATTCTGTTGGTTGTCAGTTCACTCTGATGATAGTTTCCCTTACTGCACAGAAGCTCTGGAGTTTAATTAGACCCCATTTGTCTATTTTGGCTTTTGTTGCCATTGCTTTTGGTGTTTTAGTCATGAAATCCTTCCCCATGCCTATGTCCTGAATGGTATTGCCTAGGTTTTCTTCTATGGTTTATATGGCGTTTGGTCTTATCTGGAGTTATTTTTTTTCTAGGGTTTTTATAGTGTTAGGTCTTACATTGAAATCTTTAAACCATCTGGAGTTAATTCAGTTAAAAGCTGAATCTAAGGTCCAGTTTCCCAACACCATTTATTAAATAGGGAATCCTTTCCCCATTCCTTGTTTTTGTCGGGTTTGTCAAAGATCAGATGATTGTAGATGTGTGGCATTACTTCTGAGGCCTCTCTTCTGTTCCATTGGTCCACATCTCTGTTTTGGTAACAGTATCATGCTGTTTTGATTACTGTAGCCTTGTAGTATAGTTTGAAGCCAGGGAGTGTGATGCCTCCAGCTTTTTTTCCCCCCTTAGGATTGTCTTGGCTATGTAGGCTCTTTTTTTGGCTCCACATGAAGTTTAAATTTTTTTTTTTCAGTTTTGTGAAGAAAGTCAATGGTAGCTTGATGGGGATAGCATTGAATCTATAAATTACTTAGGACAGTATGGCCATTTTCAGGATATTGATTCTTCCTAACCTTGAGCATGGAATGTTTTTCCAACTCTTTATGTCCTCTTTTATTTCCTTGATCAATGGTTTGTAGTTCTCCTTGAATAGGTCCTTCATATCCCTTCTTAGTTGCATTCCTACGTATTAAATTTTTTCTCTCTTGGTTATTTGAAAAGTTCTTTCCACATGTTCAGAAATTACTTCTGCTTTATGTAGTCTGTTCTTGAAGCTCTTAATTGTATTTTTTATTCTAGTCACTGAATTTTTCAGTGCCTTGATATCTGTTTACTTGTTTCTTATATCTTCGTTGAATTTCTAATTTAGATTATGGATTAATTTCTGATGTTGAATTTTCTAGATGTAATCTCTTAAATCTCACTGAGTTTCCTTAAGATTATTGTATCTATTTCCTAGCATTTTGTAAATTTTCTTTTATTTGGGTTCTATTTCTAAATAATTATGCTTCTTTGGAGGTGTCATGTTCCTTTGTTTTTAAATGTTTCTTGTGTTTCTACTTTGATATTTGCACTTCTTACATAATAGTCAGCTCTTTAGCTTTTACAGAGTAACTTTCATAGGGAAATAGTCCTACAGATCAGTCCTAGGATGTCGATTGGGTAAAGTGCATTGGTTTGGTTCTGAGTGGACACAGTAGGTCAGTCTCTTATGCAGTTCACTCAGCTGTAATATACATGAACAACACTTGTGAGTGCCTCAGTGGCGTAAGCTGCAGAAGTTTGAGGAAGTGGTGGTATGGCTTTGCCAAGGATGGGTTTGTTGAGCTGATTTTGTGTTCAGGGACATGTGCATGCATATGGAGGGCCAACCAAGTCAGGGACTGACTTTTCAGGGGAACACGGCCACTGGCTGTTTCTTTGGCTGAAGATATAAGTGTACATTCAGCTGACTCAGGGACTAGTCAACTATGGTAAGGTCACTGGATTCTCTCTCCAACTGGTGACACTGAAGGGATCTTAGCAGGGATAGGTTTACTGAGCTGTTTGGTGTGGTCAGTGTGGGGTTGGCGTCTTCACTGTGCAGGACTGGTGTCACAGCCATTCTTAGATTCATGTTCTGAGTACCCAGAATCATAGCTTTGCAGCCCCTAGTGTAGGCTTGGTGAAATGAGAATGGAGCTGCAAGGCTGGAGAGGCACAGTGCCACTGACCCCTTTAGCAGGGCTCACTACAGCAATGACTCTGGTTGAAATACTGTGCCATGCCACAGCAGATTGGTTCACAAGTGAGGAGGAGGAGTAAAGAGTGGATGTTTTCTCCTTCTGTGGAGTAATGGAGCCAAGTATGTTTCAAGCAGCCACCTCCAAACTGGGTTTAGAGCTTGTTAGGACTGTGGGATTCTTCTGTAGTATGAACTACAGCTGCTGGCACTGGCAATGGAAACTTATGGGAAGTCCTTTTTTGCCTTTTAGCTGATCCTAATGGGGTAGCAGAGACAAAGTCCCTCACTTCTCTATGTTGCTATCCTGGGCTTCTCTGCTCACCAAGAATGTTGCCAGTCCCTTGCTATACTTCATACTATCTTTGGATGCTGTAATCAAATTTTAGTTGTTTACTTATTATTTTGTTCCTTTTTCGTAGGTGAACAAATGCCAGAGGACACCTTTAGTTTGTCATCATGTTGACAAACCTATTTATTTTTTTCTTATTTCTTGTGTTTTTGATGTCATACATCAAATTGCCAAATCCAAAACCTAGAGAATTTACCTTATTTTCTAGTGGCTTTACATTTTTGGCTCTCATATTTAGGTCATTGATTGTTTTGAATTGATTTTGTATTTGGTGTGAGGTAGGGGACGACTTTATTTTATCATATATATCTTATATATTAAATTATGTTGTTTAAATCACAACATAATTTTGGTGAAATGATTGCTACTGCCAAACAAATTAACATATCTATCATCTCATATAGTTACCTTTCTTTTTTTTCTTTCCTTTCTTCTTTCTTTTTCAGCCTTTTTATGGAGGGTAGAGTGTTGGAATATCCTAATTTGCTATTTTTTTCTACCTCTCTCTTGTAAGTACATTGGTTTTAACATTTAGGGCCCACCAAATAATCAAGATAAATACCCCATCTCATTGCCTTTAATGTAATCACATCTGCAAAGCCATTGTCAAATATAGTTCTATTTATGTTTCAAGGAATTAAATTTGACGTGTTTAAGGATCATTATTCATCCCCTACAGATTTGTTTCTCACTTATGCTACCATTAGTATATGTCTACCACACAAGTTGCCTGTTCAAATAGAAGCCTCTCTCTTTGAGGTCATTCAAAACATAGCCTGATGACAGCTTTACCATCTTTAATGCACCTACTGGAATATGAAGCTGCCTTAATCACCATGGCAGGAGAGAAACAACTGGAAGTTCACATGTATGCTTCAGTCCACCTAAAAGTGACATATTTCTAATCTTTTACAGTCAATTGCCTGCAACTAATACATACCTTGGTCTAGCTGTAATGAGGTAGGTATATGTAGGAAAGTAGATAGAATGTTTGAGGACTACTATTTTTGCGATCCATGCTGTATCAATATTTATAAATAATAAAATATTAATATTAATAATCTACAGAACACTCATTATGTGCTAGAAATTGTTCTTTGCTTTGTAATATGTGATCTAATACTCTTGGCAATCTTAAAAATGATGAGATGATATTATCTCCTTTCTTACAGATGAGAAAGTTTGGTAAGGTGAAATTGCTTATCCAATTTGAAGCAAAATCACCTTAGTACAGAGAACACGTTTGTAATCACTATACGTGTCTGTGACAAGAAAAGTATGATGTCTGCTATGGAATGAGGACTCAATAGTCTGGATAGGGAGAAGAATAAATCCATTTTCTTTAGAAGATAAAAAGATGTTCCCAGGTCATAAATGTGGCAATAAGGAAAAAACGTATTAAAAAAAAAATACTTTGCTTAGAAAACTCTTGAAAGATCTTTGAGAAAGAGCAAAAATTGTAACTAAATTAAATTGAAATTGAAAATAAAAAGCCTAAACCTTTAAAATACCAAGTGATGGCAAATATATGAAAAAATTGAAATATTCTTCAGAATAAAAATGGTAAAATCACCTTCATAAACAATTTCAGAGTTTTCTATTCAACTAAGGATATTTACCATGTGAACAAACACTCTAACTTCCAGGTGTTTAGCAAAACGAAATAAAAACCTATGTTCACACAAAAATGTTAGCCAACACTTAGATCAGTTTGATTCATAGTCAGCAAGCACTAGGAATGAAATAAATGGTCTTCATCTCAGAATTTAAAAAAAACATGTAGTGGTCACTTTATGAAATACCATTTGGCAATTTAAAAAATTCACAAAAGACTTCGGTAACAAATGAATGGATCTCAACTGAACTAATGCTAAGTGGCAAATGACATTGAAAAGACTATGTCTTCTAAGATTCTAGTAAAAGATAGTCTTGCAAAGACAAAATTATGTGGACAAAAGCAGTTTAGTAGTTATCAGAAGCAGTGATAGGAGAAGGCATTGATTGAAACTAAGCTTGGGAAATTAGGTGATTATGACAGTGGTTACATGACTGTATATTTAACAAAAGTCTTAGAAATATACACCATAATGTGGGCAGATTATTGTTTGGCACTTATATGTTAATTTAAAAGAAACAAGAAATACAAAACAATAAGTAACACAAAAACACATGTACACACTAAAAATATCCAATTTGATCCCCAAAGGCAATTTAGTTGTTTCTTCTCCAGGAAAGTGAGAAAAGTTACTGCAGATGTTCTCATGGGAGACATCCCTTGAGAGGACCATATGTTTATAATTCACTTCTAGTTCCTATTCATTAGCTTCTGAAATCTATCATGACTCCAGGTGACTTTATTTTAGAGGGACATACTTTGATCCTAGTCCCTTTGGTCATCATTTGTTCATCTGAATATTAATAATTATTCATACACATAGGCCTTCTCCTGATTTTAAGTTTTCCTATAAGCCTGCAGCCATAGCTAAGGGAACATCTCAAGATAAAATTTATATCAAATGACTTGAAAATGAGAATCCTTTAGTGAGTTGTTATATAGGCATTCTCTTATTTGCTGTTTATAAGCACAATTCTGTGAATTGTATGAGAGAGGTAATTTTGTTATGTTTATTTTATAATTAAAGAGGAGGTAAATGTGTCATTGAAGGACACAGAAAAAAATGCATGATAGATTCATGATATGAACATGAATTAGTGTTTTTTCTACATCTTTCTCTGCCTTAGAGACCTTGAAACCATTGACCACTTCCGAGAAAGAGCTTCTCTAACAGAATTTGTGCATAGAAGTATTTCTTACATCAAACACATTCTTCAAGACTGACTTTCACTGTTTTTAAGGAGCAAGGTAAGCTTCTATTCAATGTACACCTTTAGTGAAAACTGTAATTTATACAAAAGCAGTGGGATAGCTGTACCTACTATGATGTTTTGAACACAGAAATAAATGTTGAAAACATTTTTCTAAAAAACTGAGGAGAAACTGGATTATAAACCTCGAATCTTTAATTAGTAGTGAATTGGATGATACTTATAAAATATCATTATATCTCGTAAAATACAGAAGAACAGTACAGGTGATGTTCTGATTGATTCAGTGGTAATGTCATCATATACTTAATCTTATACACCATATGTTAACATCTTCTTAAAGGTAAAGAAAAAAAACAGAAGAGTAAAATGACCCTTCTTTAAAATACTAAAGATACTGGCCAGGCACAGTGGCTCACACCTATAATCCTTGCACGTTGGAAGGCCTAGATGGGTGGATCACTAGAGGTCAGAAGTTTGAGACCAGCCTAGCCAACATGGTGAAACCCTGTCTCTACTAAAATACAAAAATTAGCCGAGTATGGTGGTGCACACCTGCAGTCCCAGAAACTTAGGAGGCTGAGACATGAGAATCTCTTGAACCTGGAGGTGGAGGTTGCAGTGAGCAGACATTGTGCCACTGCACTCCAGTCTGGGTGAGAGAGTAAGACTGTCTCAAAAAAGAAAAAAAAATATTGAAGTACCAAAGGGAAATAAGTTTCAAACTACTTTTTAATATTTTCTCCATAATTGTATTCTTATTACTTCTAGTACATCTATACACATGGACAGTGGTATCACTGAAAACACTGGCTGATGATTAGGTCCAAACTGGGTTTAAATTTTGAATCTTCCTCATACTAGCTGTATAATACGGCATCACAAAACCTCATAAATCATTATTTGCATTAATGGTAAAATAAAAATAATACTACTACCTACTTCATACTACACATACATGCATAACTCAAACATACCCACTTATCACTGGTTGTAGAACATGGTATATCAGCTAGGTGGGATGGCTAGAGTAGTCAACTGCATGGATGCAGCAAATAAGAGTTATTGAAAGGCACAGAAAATCTCAGTGGCTCTGCTATGTGAGAGAATAAGCAAAATGATGAAGAAGGATATAAGACTTCAAAACTCATCCACACCTAAAGCTCTGAATGTTACTACACACTTTTTCATCCCAATAATTGTGTAGCTGGCAGTCATAAGGTTGGCAACCATGCCACATTTGTGCTTTGTTTTATTCATTTCACTTTTAAATCTCACATTAGTACCTTCAGTTAGATATAATTACTTTCTTCATTATGCAGATAGAGAAAATGAGGTTCAGAGGAGTTAGGTAATGATCAATGATTCCTAGATAGCAAATCATAGGGCTGATAGGCACCTCTTACCACAGACCTATATACAGTTCTGTGTCTTCCCTTCAGAATTACCTTTACTGATTACACATGCCCCTACAGTCCCAGTCATCACAATACATCTGCTGTGCAAATATCTCTCATTCACTGAGAAACCCCAAACACTGAGTTTGTATCAATGGAGGCAATAAGTAACTGTTTGATTGAGTTAAAACAATTTGATGTATAGAAAATTGTGAATGTTGTGCTCTTGAACCACTCTGCTTGTGTCCAAAGCTTGGCTTGCCATTAATTTTTATGTTAACATGAATAAATTACTCAACCTTTTGTGCCTCTCGATCTAAAAGAAAGTAACAACTAATCAAACTTATTGTTGGAAAGAATCAATGAATATACATGCAAAGTATCTAGAGTAATTCTGTCAGGTAGGCAATATAGAAGCAAAAGTTTTTACTAGAATAAGAAAAACTGAATTGGTCCACTCTGCTTGCATGTGTGTATACACACACACACACGTACACACCTGTCATATATATATTATTCCAGACATGTTGGAAATTTTATATAATTTTCCAAATATTGGTTACAACATTAGAAAGGTGAAAACTAGTGAGAGATAACCTGTGTGGATCTTTTCAATTCAGTCATTTATAACTCTGTAGCTATTTAATGCACTAAACTTTGTGGTTAAGTTTATGTTTAGATACGTAGAATCTTAAAATATGTATTACTACAATAATGAAATAATGCACGTGGTTTTTGACATTTTCATTTCAATATCTACTCCACAACCTGTTTAACATTCTTTGCTTTATTTCTCATTGCTACAGACATCCTCTGATTCTCAAATAACATTGATGGAGAACCATACAGAAGTGACAGAGTTCATCCTCCTCGGACTAACCGATGCTCCAGAGCTACAAGCCCCCCTCCTTATCATGTTCACACTTGTATACCTTGTCAATGCGGTTGGAAACCTGGGGATGATCATTTTGATTCTTTGGGACTTTCATCTCCACACTCCCATGTACTTTTTCCTCAGTCACCTGTCTCTAGTGGACTTTTGTTACTCTTCAGCTGTCACTCCCACGGTCATAGCTGGGCTCCTTATAGTAGACAAGGTCATCACCTACAATGCATGTGCTGCTCAATTGTTCTTTTTTGCAGCCTTTGCCACTGTGGAAAATTTCCTCTTGGCCTCTATGGCCTATGACCGCTATGCTGCAGTATGCAAACCCCTACACTACACCATGACAATGACAACAAGTGTGTGTGCCTGTCTGGTCATAATTTGTTATGTCTGTGGTTTCTTGAATGCCTCCATACACATTGGGGAAACGTTCAGTCTCTCTTTCTGTATGTCAAATGAAGTCCATCACTTTTTCTGTGATGTTCCAGCAGTCATGGCTCTGTCTTGCTCTGACAGACATGTGAATGAGCTAGTTCTTGTTTATGTAGCCAGCTTCAATATCTTTTCTGCCATCCTAATTATCTTGATCTCCTACCTATTCATATTTGTCACCATCCTAAAGATGCACTCAGCTTCAGGATACCAGAAGGCTTTGTCCACCTGTGCCTCCCACCTCACTGCAGTTGCCATCTTCTATGGAACTATTATCTTTATGTACTTACAGCCCAGCTCCAGTCACTCCATGGACACAGACAAAATGGCATCTGTGTTCTATACAATGGTCATTCCCATGCTGAACCCCCTGGTCTATAGTCTGAGGAACAAGGAAGTAAAGAAAGCATTCAAGAAAGTTGTTGAGAAGGCAAAATTGCCTCTATTATTGTGAATTTAACATTGCAGGATGCATAATACCTAGTTTCATCCCTCTGTCCTGAATTACATTTTAAGGTTCACATGAAGTTTCTGAAATAATATCATTTCTTCTTCCAAAGTCTGTTCTCTAGGAAAAAATAAATGCTTTGTCCAAAAATATAATACCTAAATGAGAAAGCTAAGGTGAATAATAAGATACCTTAGGTTTTACTTGTCAAAACTTTATATATTTGATTTATTCACTCATTCTTCATGCATGTCTGCTACCAAATACTACGAAAAACATACATGTAAAACAGGTGCATAAATGGGCCCATGAACATATTTATATACGTGGGAACATATACACAGGACTGGGAAATTTGCCAGAGGTAAATTCAGTATAGCTAATTTTGATACAAATAATTCAGGTAATTAATTGAGTTATCTGAATTTTAGTTCATGTATAATATTGTTTAGTTGAATAAATGTTTTAGAGTCCTAATTTGAGAACAAATGTGACTTATTTTAAATAAAAGTACAATCATTTCTCTGCATCTCTGCTATGCATCTACAGATTTAAGCAACCATGGATAGGTAAGTATTTCTAAAAATAATAATTCAACAATAAAAAGTACAAATTTAAAAATTCAGTATAATAACTCTACATAGCATTTACATTGTGTTAGGTATTACAAGTAATCTAGAGATTATTTAAAGTATATGTGAGGATTTGCATGGGTTCTATGCAAATATGATTACATACCATGGATCAATATCTCGATTCAATAGTCTGTCCACTGATTTATGTGTCTCTTTTTCCAATACCACACTTATGCTGATTATTATAAGTCATGAAATCAAGTAACACTTCAACTTTATTATTATTTGTATCTACTAGCTTTGCCCTTCCATATGCACCTATAATCAATGTGTCCATATTTATTTTTTTTAAGTCTGCTTGGATTTTAATTGTGATTGCAAGAAGTCTCCAGAGCAGTCAATGTAAAGTCTCTTAATTCACAAATATAGTATTTCTATACACTAATTTAGATTATTAAAATTTCATTCATCAGTATTCTATATTTTTTAGCACTTTTAAGACATGTATCTTAAATATGCTCAAAGGGCTAAATTAAATCTTGAAAAAGAAACTAAAGGAAGCTAAGATAAGGATATTTCAAGGAATAGCGGCATATCAATAAAGAAATAGAAATTATAGAAAGCAATTAGATAGAAATTCTGGAGAAGAAACCAAAAAGAGGTATGATAGACTATGGAAAGTAACGGCTCAGATTTCTTGACTTTTAAGTATTAGTATTTTTTATACTTATAAAAACTTTTATATTTGTTATTGGATCAGAGAAAAATAACAGCCCATGAGGTAGATTAAAGGTTTTTTCTCCTTGTAAATCAAGATCAGAGCTTGGCAGGTTTATAACCATCTGGCTATTAACAAAGCCAGCATTATGTTTGGTCTTATGTTAAACTGTTATTCACATCCCTACATTCTGAATTCCTGAACAAAAAGAATATTTTGGGTCACTTTATATGTGAGTATAAACAAATGAATTTGGAAAATTTATTGGTTGCTCTTGAAGTATGAGCAGAATGTAGAAATTAACTATTTTCAAAAATAACTGCAATCACATGCATATGTACATACATTAGGGTCCAATTTGGCAACTTAGAGGAAGAAATTTCATAGTTACTTAGATGCTCTGGCACATTCTGAGCACTTTCATGGTGATTTTTAAAACTTTATTTTTATTATAGCATTTATTATTTTTGAGCGGTGGTTTGTAGAGCTCACTGTATTTGCCCCCCTAATAAGAAAGGAAACATTAATGTACTTAATAATCATGGTAACAAAGGAGATTCCAGTTATACCTTGTGTGTTAGAGTTGTGCCAACTTTATTTTCAATTCTGGGCACACGTGATAGAACATATTTATTAGAAAGTGATCATTTGTTCTAACTCGCTACATGTGCAAAGCCAGCTAGGAGGAAAAGGAGAAGAATAGGAAGAAAACTAAGGCTGAATACATTACTTGTGTCAGGCATCAAGTTGGTAGGATTCTATGTAGCATCCAATGCAATCTAATACATTGCAGCTCTGTGAAATAAGTACACTTGGCATTATGTAAACTAATTTTTCACAGAACATGAAACTGGGATTCAAGGAATAGTAGTAATGTTCTCAAAGCCACATTTAAAGTCACCTGACTACATTTAATGTAATCAAAGCCACACTTGATTGGCATTCGGTTGCTAATGAAATATACTTCTCTGTACAATCCAGTTAAGTTACTGGAAAAAAATATCGTTGTAATATACTTAGTGTTAATGATCCTCTAGGAGTCTTCTAAATGGTCACATCAAATCTATAATCTGACATGTTTTCATTAATTTTTCTTTTAGGTTGAATTTTTTCTCTTTATTTCTCTCTCTCTCTCTGTGTCTCTCTCTCTCTCCTCTCTCTCCCATTTCCATGTTCAGTCCTTAAATAAATTTCTGATTATGTCATATATTTTATCAATTAATATCACAATATTATAATACTTTTTTGTTTATGGTTTTACCAGTATACAGATGCTTCTCTACTTATGATGGTGTACATCCTGATAAACCCATCATAAAGTTAAAAATCACAAACTGAACCATCACACATTGGGGACTATCTGTGCTGCCACTCTCTACTACAATGATAGCAGCAAGAATTATACTAGTAGTAGGAGCAATAGTAATAATAGCAGTAATAAACATTAATTAGTATCTATTGTGATACATACATTGAATTAAGTATTCTTCATGACCAAATTTAGTCAATTCAATTACTTTAAGTAAAGGGAAATGTTAGCACTCCAATTACACAAATTGTGAACGTGATGTATAAAGTTAATTAACTTCACCCAAAACTTTTGAAAGAATAGTAAATTAGGGTTCTTCAGAGAGAAACTGAACAAGTGGAATAAATACAGATACATAGAAAGAGATTTCTTATTGAGGGATTGGCTCATGTGATTATGGACGCTGAGCAGTTCTGAGATCTGCTGTCTGCAAGCCAGAGAGGCGTAGGAATGCTGGTAGTGTACTTTCACTTCAAACCCAAAGGCCTGAGAACCAGACACACCAGTGGTGTCAGTCCCAGTCCAACTCTGAAGGTCTGAGGATCAGTTGCACCGATATACCAAGGCAGACGATGGGTGGCCCAGCTGAAACAAGGAGAAAAAACTCAAATTCATCCTCACTCTGTCTTTTGGTTATATTTAAGTCCTCAACAGATTGGATGATGCCAACCTGCATTGCTGAGGGTGATCTTCATTCAATCTACCAATTCAAAGGCTGATTGCTTCTGAAACCAACTTCACATACATGCTCATATGCCAGGCCCAGAAATACAAATATCACATGGTCTCACTCACATGTAGAAGCAAATATCTCTTTGAGGTAGAGAATATCTCTCTATCTGGTGGTTTTCAGAGGCTAAGAGTAGCGGGGAGCAGAAGATAAAAAGAGGTTGGCTAATGGATACAAAAATACAGTTAAATATAAAAGAATAAGTGCTAGTGTTCAACAGCACATTTTACCAGATGTCTGAAAAATATGGAAGTTCCTCAAAAAACTAAAAACAGAACTATAACATGATCTAGCAATTCCACTGCTGGATAGGTATTCAGAAGAAAGGGAATCAATATATCGAAGGGATATCTGCACTCCAATGTTTTACTGGAGCACTATTCACAGTAGCCAAGACCTGAAATCAACCTGTGTCCATTAACAAAAAAATGGATTTTTAAAATGATACATATACACCTGGAATATTATTCAATCACAAAATAATTAATTCTAGGCTGGACGTGGTGGCTCATGCCTGTAATCCTAGCACTTTCGGAGGCCAAGGCATGTGGATCACCTAAGTTCAGTAGTTCAAGAACAACCTGACCAACATGGTGAAACTCCGTCTTTACTAAAAATACAAAACTTAGCCAGGTATGATTGTGGGAGCCTGTAGTTTCGGCTACTTGGGATGCTGAAGCAGGAAAACCACTTGAACCTGGGGGCGGAGGTTGCAGTGAGCTGAGATCACGCCACTGTGCTCCAGCCTGGGTAACAAAGAGAGACTGCATCTTTAAAAATAATAATAATAAAATAATAATCATTAAATTATGTCATTGGCAGCAACACGAGTGGAACCAGAGGACATTGTGTCAATTAAAATATGCCAGGCCCAGAAATACAAATATCACATGGTCTCACTCACATGTAGAAGCAAATATCTCTTTGAGGTAGAGAATATCTCTCTATCTGGTGGTTTTCAGAGGCTAAGAGTAGCGGGGAGCAGAAGATAAAAAGAGGTTGGCTAATGGATACAAAAATACAGTTAAATATAAAAGAATAAGTGCTAGTGTTCAACAGCACAACAGGTGACTAGAGTTAACAATAATGAATTGCATGTTTCAAAATAGCTAGAAGAGAAGATCTGGAGTGTTCACAACACAAAAAAATGATAAATGTTTCAGGTAAGTGATATCCCAATTACCCAGATTTGATCATTACACATTGTATGTTTACTTTTAAGTTCTGGAGCACATGTGCAGGACGTGCATGGTTGTTACATAGGTAAACGTGTGCCCTGGGGGTTTCCTGCACCTGTCAACCAATCACCTAGGTATTAAGTCCAGCATGCATTAGCTCCTTTCTTAATGCTCTCCCTCCCCAAACCCCACACCCCAACAGGCCCCAGTGTGTGTTTTCCTCTAAAACCTCATTGTCTCAGCCCAAAAGATACACATTGTATGATGTTTATATCAAAATATCATAGGTACCCCATAAATTTGCACACTGTTATGTATCCATAAAAATTAAAAATATTTTTTACAAAAGAAATAAATTTGTGAGGTAATAGATATCCTAATTACCTTGATTTTAACCTTACACACTGTATGCACATATCAAAATAACACATGCACTCCAGAAATATTAGGCAGCAATAAAAGAAAAAAAACATATTGCAAGGAAATAAACATTGCAATAAACCAAACCATTAACATAAACTGTTAATAAAAAATGGTTACTAGTCAGCAACATGAAAGATAAGATATAAAAAGAAAGCCAATAAAATCACAAAAATAAAATATATATTAAGAAGAGTTTTATAAAATCCTCTGATGGTTAACATAAATATTAAACTAGACAAAACTGAGTTTAGAATGAACATATATAAGTTAGAACTTTAAAATAATCAAAAATCAACTTGGAGAACAAAGAAATGTAAATCATGAAAGACAAAACAGGAAGGAAACATTGAGGAACTTGAATTATTGTGTAAACGCCATATGGAAAGGATAGCAGGAACAAGAAAAAAAATAAATGTTCAAACAGAAAATGGATAAAATTTTGCCAGATTGAAGAAAGTTAAGTCTTGGGATTGAAGAACTCCACCAATTTGTGTTAGAATACATTTTAAAAATTCTAATATTGAATTAATTGTTGTGGAAGTGAAAAACAAGACCAAGAACAAACTTTGTAGATGCCAAGGACAGAAATGCATA